ACAACTACGAATTGCTGATCGATAAAGTCGGTTCTCGTTTTGATAAAGGACAGCCAGCCCAGCTGTCCGAAATGTCAGCAGAAAAAAAAACACATTCCGGTGAGCAAAAATCATCTATGATTCCAAGTCCGGAATTCTTACTTTTTCAAACTTGAACAGGAATTTGAGGCTATAGAAATATGGGTTTGTGCAGCACCATGTCTGTGGAGGATTTAAAGTTTGGAAGCGGTGACGGAAGTTAAGAGCATAATGGTGGATTGCTTTAAAGTTAAAAAACTTTTTGCACAACCACGCCTTTTAAAAACGAATGCTTAGGATAAAGCCAGCGTTCAGAAAAGGTTTTTTTTACATATTAAAGGAATAATGTTGAAATGGACCAAAACAACGCAAACCGGCCCCACCTAGAAGGCGGAGAGCCAGTCCTTTGCTAATCAAAACTTTTAAATCAATGGTAAAATTAAATATTAGCTCGGCGTTAAATTATGCAAAATACCGTTATGCTTATCCGCAACTTCTGCGATAGTCAAAAACTGAATTCTGCTAAGAAATGTTTCTCGTTTCCTGTCTAGCGTCAAACATGTATTCTGATATTTTGCAATTTATATATCTATGGCTTAATTAACTATCTTATCGCGTTCATCATTTCGCTAAAACGACGAAGACAAAAGAGGCAACAGCAGGAGAAGAGTTATATGCTTACTGTCGCTTCGATGACGTCTTGACTGATATATGGTCCTTCTCACTGCCGGGGAGTCGTTTGACCACTCGTCACTTAACGCGCAGGCCGGAATTAATGTGTCTGGCCAGATGTTGTTGACAGCTGTAGAGACTGAAGGCCAGAAGAAGCTGTCTTCTTACCAATATGATAATAAAAAGCTGGGAAGTTTTCTCAATATGAATGCAGATGCAGGCTAGTAATATTCAGGTCTTCTTAAAGAAAAGTATATGCAAAAACTTATATTAAAATAGAAACTCCGCCCGGGCCACGCATATTAGTGCTCTTACTACGTACGAAGTAGCATAGCAAATAATGTGTAGGTTACAACAAAAGGGGTATTAAAATGCAAACTTCAAATTCCTGCACAATTTGGCAGTCTACATATGCAGTACGTTGAAAAGATGACGATTTTTATTATATGGATTCTAAATGTTTTTGAGATGATCTCATACTAAAAATTGCATTTTTTTTCAAAAAAGATGCTGAAAATATCATTCCTTATAATATTAATTGGGCAATGGCTTGCATTGTATTTCATTTTGAATTAAAAAATGACATATTGAGCATTTTGAAAAATCTTTTATCCCCAAATAACTTGCAGTTATGTATGCTGCTGTATGGATGTTTTTAGTAAAATGTCCCCGCATAAAAATGATCCTTAATCTGTCCGGAGCAAGTGTATTCTTCAATTTTTATCTGCTCACACGAGTTTGTTTCAATCTCTTAAACAGGTTTTGCTTTAGTAGCTCCGCTCTTTAATATTCACTATTCACTCGTTGGCCCTGTGGCATAATTTGGAGATCAAAGAGCCCTACAAAGCAAATTGTTCCCCACGCCATGACTGTAGCGGAAAACTCTGGAACTTCAATATTCTCAAACATGTTACGACTTCAAAACCAAATGTCGTTTTTGTGTTTGGCGGATAAAGCGGTTCATGTGGCAATCCACAGGAGACGGCAGCTTGTTTCCAGTTGTCTAAAGTAGCAGTCGGACTTTAGACGACAAGCAACGACGAGAGTACCCAATGGCTTGGCGAGCGAAAATAAGATGACTTAGCGCAGAAGCGCTGGACGCGGACTACCGCAAGTTTTATAATATATCTGTAGGGCTATACAATTAACACTGTTAATATGCGCAAAAATTCGAGGACCAGATATAATATTCCTTTCATCATCCCCGGAAGAGGAAGAAGGGGTGATTTCTCTGACCAGGTTGTATTTTAGCTGAAGTTTCAAAAGCCTTCTTGCTTTCATCGTCAGACCGTGGTGACCATTCTCCTGCTGGTATCAGTAAGTGTGTCCGAACGCTAGCCTGAAGCCTCATGCTCGTGTGCCAATCGATTGTACCGCTCGATTTTTGTGGCTGTTTGAATTGTTTGCGCACTAAACAGAGCCATAGACCTTCATCCCGCATACCTAGTGCTCCGCAGAAGGCTGACTTCTGCTCAGAACGGAGAAATAGGTCGGACGGAGGAAGATACGCAGGGCCGACAGCTGGCAGCCGCGAGCGAAGGTGGAAATGCTCAGGATGTACACATAAAACCCAACGCACCTCATGGGAGCGCCCGCAAGGGCGTAAGCAATTCAAACTGTCACAAAAATCGATCGGTACAATCGATTGACACACGGGCAT